AAGGAAGGGGCACCTGTTAATAATAACTTTGAGTAAAGGGGACCCTATATAAAAATTCCAAGGCTGTTTCTCACAAACACTAAAGTACCACCAATACAACGATGGTTTAGAAATTTACTTCCAACAAGGTTACTACTCAGAGTGTATAGTTAAAAAATAAAAAAGTGTATTCAGTAATGAAAATACTATCATGGAGTGGCAAATTAACAACATGCATTGTCTCTAATTAGATCAAATACAAATCACTAGGAAATGTCTTAACTTCATGCTTCAATGCCTTAGTTTCATCATCACCTATTTGTAAAATAAATAACAAGGCTTAGTGCTAATCTCATAAAACTTGGAAGTGATATAAAACACTACATGCAGTTGTTAGGTGGTAGTGATAAAAATGGTGGTGACAGTATTAACAGTACCAATAGTAATGCAACCTATTAGTGTTAAATCAGTATATTTAAGGAAGAAAAAAAATGGCTCTTAGCATGTGTCTCATTCAATTCTTTTAACTGAGGATGGGAACAAATATAATTCTCACTTTTACATCAATGAAAAAAGAGAGGCTCATTTGCCTGTATCACTCAGCTAATAAATGGCAGAACTGATATTTGAATATTGATCTATGTAGACAAAAAGCTTATCTTCTTTCCCTTACACAATACCATCTCCACAGAACTACATAGTGGCAGAAAGATATTTTTAAAAAAGAAAAAGGTTGGCGTTCTGCTCTTTCTAAACTTCACATCTGGTGTATCAACTTATTTGATGAAAAAGTAAAGGGACTGATTACATCTTTAAGGTATTCTTTCATATAAAAAAGTCCATGATTTACTATAGTACCATAGCTATGGGTAAAATCACTTAAAATACAGCAGCATACAATAGGCTGGTACCAGTGGCTCACATCTGTAATTATAGCTACTCAGGAGGCTGAGCTCTGAGGATCATGTTTCAAAGCTAGCCCAGGCAGGAAAAGTCCATGACACTTATCTCCAAAAAGCTGGAAGGGGAGCTGTGGCTCAACTGGTACAGTGCTAACCTTGAGCAAAAAAGTACCCAAGTATCCAAGCCCTGATTTCAAATCCCAAACCTGGGGGGAAAAAAACAAAAAGGAAAAAACCTGCACTACAACAAAAGTGCTGGTTTTTCAAGACTTTTACATTATTAAAAAAAAATGAATGTTAAGAGGAAAGTTCACCAGCAATTCGTTTTATATTATTAGCAAGTGTGACTAAGCAATTGTTTTGTATCAAACAGTCTAAGTATTTCATGACAATTTAAATCTTATTTTCAATAATTTATGGAAGAGTAAACTTTACTGTACTATTATAAAATCCTGATAATACTACAGAATTTATAGTAAATGCAAACATAGGGAGTCAATTTCATGCAAAAAAAGTTACTAGGTTTTCCCATCTTAAGCCTTGTCCTATCAATCAGAAAATTCAGCGGCCCTGAAACTAGCTTTAATAGCATCCAAAATCTTTAGCAAGTCCTGTATAAACAGGTTCTTCTCTCTGGAGCTATCTATTGGCATTCTTCCTTTGTTTTTTACATCTCTTAATTCCTCCAAAACAACTTCTTTTTTCTCATTTTCCAGCCCTCAAACAATCTGTACTTCAAAACCTGGAAAGCTTTAACAGCTTCCCCACTACCATCTTTTGCAGGAGCAAATGGTTTTCCATGCTTTCAAGGTAAGATAAAATGTTACGATGCCAGGGAAGCCTTACCTGACCTTCCAGTCATATATTTTGAAAGCATTCTAGATTTCTCCACAATTTAATCTTTTAATTACTTGTTCAACAGGTCTCCATTTAACAGTAACCAATATGCAGATAGTCATCTCATCCTTATATTCATTCTATTTCCCCAATAACTACCACATCGATTAGCACAGAGTAGATAAAAATATTCAGTAGAAGTTCACTGAATAATACACTCAAAATACCAGGTAAGTGCAAAGCCCTGAGATAAATAGCTAAAAAGTTCTACATAAATTTCAAGTTAAATCTTACCCTTGATCCTTCCTATGTTCCTTCCTTGAACAGGTGCTACTTTGTTAATTACAAAGTTAATGTTAGCTACAAACTTAAAATGTAGCAAAACATAACTTTAGTTAACAAACCAAGATTTGAACCACTGATTAAGTAACTGGGATCAGGTCTAATAAGTCATCACCTAAAAGAATATACCTGAAATGCAATTAGAGGAACACATGAACCCATGCAAGTTAAGGGCTGTATTTTACAAAAGCAAATACATATTACAATCAGATCAACCCACTACTATTGTAGAGTCTACAAGCACTGCCTCATTTATTACAACAGTATGGCATACAATACTATCTGCAGTCCTACAAACTAAGCTATTGACACATAGAATATGCTTTTTTTTTTTTCTTTTTTCTTTTTTTTGGTTAATAGTGACCTGAACTTTGGGCCTGGGCACTATCCCTCAGCTCTTCAGCTCAAGGCTAGCGCTCTACCACTAGAGCCACAGCGCCACTTCCGGCTTTTTCTGCTTATGTGGTGCTGAGGAATCAAACCCAGGGCCTCATGCATGCAAGGTAAGCACTACAACTGAGCCACCTTCCCAGCCCCAGAATATGCTTTTTTTAACTAAGAAAAAAGTAGAAGCACATAGCTATAGATTTCTAGGTTAGCAAATAAAAAAGGAAATGGCAGTAAATGATTTGAAACTGAAAATACCTTCAATTAAAAAATGAATACTTAAGAAAATAAAAACTTTCAGCACAAATCATTTCCCAAAGTTTTTGGATCACCTAAAACTTATAAAAATGCTAACTGCACATCAAGAAATGTTATGGGATTTTCTTATATTCACTATTTCTCCTGCTTTACAAATGAGTAAACACAAGCATGAAATAACCGAATATTAAACAGTTCGTGACAGAGACAATCCAAAGCCAGCCATTAGGCTCTGGACTCCTCTCTTTCAACCCTTATATCATGTCTTCCCAATCTTCTATTGTGTGTGTGTGTGTGTGTGTGTGTGTGTGTGTGTGTGTTTAAAGTCTATTTGGTAACACTAGATACTGAACCCAAGGTCTTGCACATGCTAAGCATATATTCTACCATTGAAATACATCCTCTAGCTCACCACCCCTGGAAATAGAATTTTTACACTACTCCACTCCAGTGAACTAATTTGTTTAGATTTCCAATGGCCTCAACCTTGCCAAATCTAAGAGCTATATAGCTGCCTCTATCCATAAGGTTAATAACTCCTCTGTCATACATTTGTTCTTTTATTTAGCAATACGTAACCCAGTTTTTTTTTTCCACCTCAATCATGATCTGTATATTCTTTCCAGGAAATCTACATTTCCAAGGCTTCAAAAACACTACCTAGATGACTCTAAATTTCTCTAGTCCTGGATATAGCTTTCTAAACTGATATATTCAAATTCCTATCACTTTAAATACCGTATCCTTAATCATCAAAAACAACCACTCTTTCCTTCTCCCATCAGCCTTTACTCCAGACCAGTGTTCTCTCCCATGAGCCATCTAGTTGCTTAGACTAACTTCTAGCTATGACCCTTGATTTCCTTCTCCCTCATCTTCCAAATCCAATCCATCAGAACTACTTATAAAGTATAGTTAGTTCTGCCTCTACTATCATTTACCATCAACTACCCTACCCACATGTAGTTTCCACTTTGTTCTTGCCCCTTTAGTCTCCCCAAAGCAGGAAAATTAAGATCAAATCAAGGATTGTGCGCTTGGAAATCAGCTAATATCTTTTTAGTATTCATTTAAAAAATCCTAATTGCTGGCCATTCTGTAAGATATGGCCCCTAACTACTTCTCCCAAGTTCATGTCTTTCCTTTCTCCCTACCCCATCACAAGCCTTACCCGCACAGGCCTTCTCCTTGCCCCCTCTCCCCCAATACACTACTCGGGTCTACTACCATGCCTTTGCATTTGCTCTTCCTTCTGCAAAGAACTTTCTGGAGAGTTTCACACTCTCTTCCTCAGATTTTGCTCGAGTGTCAGATATTGCAGGCCTTTCCTATTAGGTGTGAACCCATTCTAATCACTCTTACTAGAATGGCCAAAACGCTACTGATACCAGAAGTGCTCTTTTTATTGAAACTTGTCAATTTTGGCATTTAAAAGCTCTATTCCCAAAGCCTCCCACAACACACTTTGCTTAACACATGCATCCTGTGACTTAAAATTTCTCCATTGCATTTTGCTACTGCAAAATGTTAAGAAAATTGGTCCATGATTTGATATTTATTAATCCTTGAAACTCTTTAAATTTTCCAAAAAGACATTTTAATATACTCCCCACACTTCCAGTCCATCTAGAGCACCTCACTTAAAAGTGTTAAACATTCCGTATGTATGGAGACTCGATTTTCTTCCTCCTATCCCAGTGAACGAGCATGTACTCGGCACCTTGGCACCTGTTACATCTTCAATCAGTTAAAGAGGTGCAGATAAGCCAAACAGCACATGGGAGACGTGGCCTTTCTTTCAGGGATTATATTCAGGTGAAACATGAGGCGACTTAAAAACTCCACCTGTCCCAATCTCTTAACAAAGGCCAATTCACTCCATTTAAGGAAAACTGGGTAAATACGTCCGTGGGCAGGAAGGTGTGCTCGGTTTTACTGAAATGAAAGAAACCTGTGTGGAGGATCTTGGCAAACACCGGTGGTATGGAGGCGGTTGGGGGGTCCGGTGTACACATAACGGGAAAGCAAAAGCAAGGAGACACCGGTTCAAAGCTCAGTTCGTGCTCTCCGCGTGGGGGGGAGGAAGAGAGGGAAGTATTTCGAACCTGAACGCGAAGGTGGACAAGGAAGAGAAGCCCTGGGAGTCTCTGATCACCGCTTCGGCCTGCACGGCGGGCACGGTGGAAAGGCTGCACCGATCCGGGTCCGCCACTCCACCACCGCCATCCCCGCGAGATCTCCTCCCCTCCCCTGCGGCGCTTCCCCCCCCCCACACACACACCCCAGGATACTCACATGGGCTCGAGGGTCTTGCTGAGCCAGGACTTGAGTGCCTCGAAGTTTTCAATGATCATTTTAGAAACCATCCACCGCGGCCCCGAGGCCCGTCACACACACGCACACACAGACCCGCCTCAGCCCGCCCAGGTCGCGGCCGCTACGGCCGCCGCTGCCCCCGCCCCCCGCCTCCGCGCGCCGCCCGCCCGCGTGGGCCGCGGTGGGAGGCGCCGGTGGCAGCTTCCCGCGAGCCCCGGGCCGCGCGCGGCTTCGCGGGGGGGCTGCCGCGGACCCTCGGGGCGCCGGGAGCCTCGCCCGCCCCCCCAGACCCCGGCCCCGGCGGAGGCAGCGACGGTTTACCCGGGCCCTCTCTCCCTTCCCCAAGTCCCTCAGCGGATATTCCCGAACCAGGAGCGCGAAACGCGCCGAGGCCGGGCTTTTCTCTCAGCGTCGGGAGTATGTGCTTGTTGGCAACGCAGCAAAGGCAAAAGTAAAGAAAGAGAAAGACCCCCCGGTAGCGCGATAGGAACGACTCGGGGGGTCTTCCCGGCACCTGAGCACCCCCAAGAAAATGGCTGCCTGTAAACCTCGCGAGAATTGGCGAAGTCTCGCGTTGACTCCCGGAGCCTTCTGGGAAGAGACGTAAAGTCGGGCGTCCGGCACCGAGCGCCGGGCGCGGAGCGCGCGGGGCGGACGAGCGCGGCGGCGGCGGCGGTGCGTGTGTGCGTGGCCTGGGGGCCTGGCTGCCTTTTTACCCGTTGTAATAAGACGGAGACTCTGTGGTTTCACAGAGCTGGCAGGCCCTGACGTCAGAATCAGTGGGAACCCCCTCCTGGCTCCCCAGCCGGTTCTCTCGGAGCGGACGGGGACCGGTCCTTCGCGGCGACGACGGGACGGAGGGCCGGAGCCTCGCTTTACCTCAGTACCCTCCAGCCCGGTATTCTCTGGTCTGCTGTGAGATTCACAGGTCACTCTAACCTCCAGAGCACTGGTTGCCTGTCCGAATTTGCTAGACTGTTTGGCAGACCCCGAATGACCGAGGGTGCTGGGGATGTCCCCCAGCCCTTCCCCCCGGGACACAGGTGGGAAGACCTTAACGCTTCTCGGCATGTTTTCCCACCACCTGAAACTGGAATTTTCTCCTAGCTGAATATTTAAAAAAAAAAAAAAAACAGAATGTAGATACAGTTTATTTACATCCAGTTCAGACTCTTATAACTTACTTTGTAGCAAAAGAGAACTTCCCAAATTCTCCTGGGTGATCCAGTGTAAAGGTTTGATTTCTGCCCATTTATTATTCATATACCCCATGACGCACCCCGGGGGGGATCTTGCAAAGGGTCTAAAATGCATGAACTACGGTGAAACGAAAATAAGTCATAATCTAATGACAGTAATTGAGCTAATAAGTTCCCCCCCCCATGGGAAACGTGGTAGAACAAAAGATCCTTATGAATTGAGAGTTTATAATTTGCTAGAGTGAAGTGTCCTTGAAGCATTAAGTGAAGGTTGTCAACTACAAAGCTAGGCACTTGTCCTAAAATAATTGCATCTAAAGTAGGATGCAAATTGGAATCCAGCTACTAAATAGCCAGAGTATTGATTAAAGCAGTTTAGTTAAGTGAAGTAAGCCATATAAAAGAACAAATATTTATGATTTCACTTCTCTGAGGTTTCTAGAGTAGTGGGTAGAGTCTTCCAAATTATCAAATTCTGTAAACTCCAGGTAAACCAGGTATATTTACTTGCTCATTATTTCCCACAGTGAATGTCTCTTTCTCTGTCAAATACTGCCTATTTTCCAATACCACTGCTAATGTTTAGCCTTATTCTTTCTGAACCAAGGGCAGCATCTTTTAAATATCTGCTTTTTAAGCAAGCAAAAAGTTTATCTTCGGTTGCCTTTAAACTCTTAGATCTAATCATCACTTCCTTTCACAGTGTCTTCAGGATAAAGTAAATCCTTAACTACTTATATTTCCCTATGATTTGAATATGTATCCATTAGTGTACAAGCCATCCTGAACTATGTTGAGTCTCTTGAAAGAAGTACTCTCTTCACTAAACTAGTTCATTGCAAAAATGTGTTTTTCTCCCTTCTTTCGATGGATTTATGCTTATCCTTGAAAACTCAGCACATATAACCTCACCTTTAGAAACCCTTCCCCTGGGAACTGGAAATATGGCTCTTGTAGTAGAATTCCTGTCCAGCAAGTTTGAGGCTCTGAGTTCAACCCCCAGTACCATCAAATTAAGAGAGATATCCATCCCTGACCTTCGTTCCCTTAAAATAAGAGTCCATCTGACATTTTTCTCACATTAGCCTCTGCTTGCTTCTATTATAGCATCCATGATTTTCTTTTACTATTATCTGGTTATCTGCTTCTTATTAGGCTGTGGCTTATGATCACTAGCCCCAGATACATGCAGTCAATTTTCCTTATTCATGGTAGTTTTAGTCTATAAAACAGCCACAAATGTTAAATTAGCAAATAATGGAACCATTGCTCCTAAGGGAAATACAGTGCTGGGTTCTTGCAAGCCTCTAGTTATATTTCTATCAATTGATCAATAAATAATCATTTTTATGTGTTTCTGTTTAAGGGCTCCTTATTTAATATATATTGTTGATTCATTACTATTGAGCTTAGGGCCAGTGGTACTATAACTCATGCCTGAACAACGCTTATCTAATGCATGTATATTCTCTGTAAGATATTCCATAGCCTTCTTACACATGGGGACCATAGAATGTACTTCAGCACTACACTTGGGAACCATTTTAAACAGTGAAACCATAAATAAAATGCACAAAAAAAATGTAAGAAAATAGTACTAAATAGATGAAAAGAGAACTTTTCACCAATAGAGGTGAAAAAAGAAGTCAGAGCATCCCCTTGCTCACTCTTATCTGGGAATACGCACATCAGGTAACTTAAAATTGCCACCTCTCCGTTCATGTCCACAAATGTCCACTGCAAAACTTCTGTAATCATTAATTTGGGAGTTACAAATAATTTTTGTAAATAGCAAAGTCATAAATACAGAATTTGCTATAACCAGGGTCTTACTAGATAGCCTTGGCTGATGTTAAATTGTAATCTTTCCTCTCTCTTGAATGTTCAGATTACATGCAGGTATCACAATGCCTGGACCTACTATGTGTGTGAATGTTTGTGTGTATTTCTATGTGGTATCCTGGGGCTTGACCTAGGCCTGGGTAATATCCCTGATTTTGTTGTTGTTGGTTTTGCTCAAGGGTAGCACTCTACTATTTAGCCACAGCTCCACTTCTGGATTTTTGGTAGTTTATAGATGTGAGCCACTGACAAATGAAATCCTGTCAGGTTCATGAACTTTTCTCTTACTGCTGAGGGTGATAGCAATCCCTTCCTACTCTAAATCCACAGACAGTTTTTATTAATATTCCACAGCTAGTCATTGTTCCTTCCCAGCATACTTCTCTTCATTTCTCTTGGAAAATAATCATATAAAAGCTTGTAGAGGGGCTGGGAAAGTGGCTCAGTGGTAGAGCGCTTGCCTTGCATACGTGAGGCCCTGGGTTAGATTCCTCAGCACCACATACAGCAAGAAAAAAGCCGGAAGTGGCCCTGTGGCTCAAGTGATAGAGCGCTAGTCTTGAGCTGAAAGAGCTGAGGGATAGCGCCCAGGCCCAGAGTTCAGGCCCCACAAGCGGACCCAAAAAAAAAAAAAAAAAAAGTATGTAGAGACATATATACATATATTGCATATCCATTACATTTATACGTGCACATACAGATTCTTGTACAAACTCTACTAATTAAGAGCATTTACCAATTATAAAGCTCAGTTTCCAGAAGTGAGGAAATACAATTTTACTAAAAGTTATTTGTCCTTGAAATGATTTCATATGTACAGTGTCAGAATTTAAAATGCAGCAATGGACGAATGAAGCATGCTTTATTGTTGAAACTAGAAGGAAAGATTATTACGTTTTTGGATATGTTTGAAATTTCCAGAATTTTTTATATTATTTAAGATAGACTCAGAAAAGAAAATAATCTCTGGAAAGTCCTAGTTGTCTGGCGATTCCATCAGAACAGACACTTTGCTTATCTTGTTTGAAACTGTCTGCATTGCCCAGAGAATTCCAGAGCATAGTGTAAGCTCTCTCTATATATCAAATGATAAACATTGAAGAATAAAACTTAGAAGCTGGGTGAGAGTCTTGACAGCTCAGACTGAGGATTTAGTCCTGGTGCATAATTCAAATGGCACCCATTGTCTTTCATAAAGATAAAACCTCAAAAAACAGCCATGCCTAGGAGAGAGCATATTTATATACTTCTTCCTGAAGATTCCATGAGAAATAAGTATTTACATGCTTTTATACATGTGATTCCTGCAGAGCTGCTTGTAGGGACTAAGTTACAAATTCATTCCATCTTTTCCTACAAATATTTCTCATAGAAATGCCTCCATGCTTTAAACCAAAATCAGAAGAAAGAAATGAGTACAATATATCTTATCCTCATCTTCCTTCATTGGAATGGAGGAGGGATAAATATTCTTTTGAAAAAGGTTCACCTTTGCAAGTTATTTTTGGTACCTTAGTGTGTTCCAAAGGTGATACTGTAGAAATTAAGCTAAAGCTGTTGGAATTCAAGACCACACCTTAGGGGCTTGAATGTGCCAAATAGCAAACACCTTAGAATAACAGGCATCTGGCACAAACACCTTTTTAAGACCCTGTAAAGTTTTTAAGCTTTTCTGTTTAATTCTATGGTGACCAGCAATGTTTGGCTGCTAAACACTAACGTGTGCAAGATCTTGGTGAGTTGAGGGCTGGGAAGATGGCTCAGTGGTAGAGTGCTTGCCTTGCATGCCTGAGGCCCTGGGTTCGATTCCTCAGCACCACATAAGCAAAAAAGAAAAAAGACGGAAGTGGCGCTGTGGCTCAAGTGGTAGAGCGCTAGCCTTGAGCTGAAGAGCTGAGGGACAGTGCCCAGGCCCAGAGTTCAGACTCCACAACCGGACCCCCAAAAAAAAAAGATCTTGGTGAGTTGAAAGCAACAAGTAAAATGTCTCATTTTTTACATTAATTGTGCATTGAAATAATATTTTTGATATATCAGATTGCATAGACTAATGTGTTCATGAAATTGGTTTCTCTTGGACTTT